AAAGGGTTGAAAGCCCATGTCTGCTGGGCAAAAAAGTAGGGAATTATTTTTTGAGGTAGGTGGGAGACTGTTTTTACCAGGAAAAAAGCTATATTAGCACATTAACCTTAAACTGTACTTCGGAATTAAAACTCTCACTATTGGTCATTCACTTCAGTAGTGTTCATTCCTTATACTTTTGACACTTGCTAGTAATGCTTGCTTATGTTCATCCTTAAAATTCCATAACTCAGTGATCCAGTGCTTGCTTCTTACTCTTTGAAAAATATCTGAATTAGACTGTTGCTAATAAGCTGTTAGAGAATTGAAGTGTTTAAGTCACGAGTAAGATGTAACAGAACATGATGTTGTGCTGTGGCATACCTTGAAGAGCTCAGGTGTGCAGTATCTATTTGAAATGGAGACGTGGCATTGGCCAACATCAGAGAACACTCTTCAAGTTTTCACTGAAAGTCACTTAACAAAATCAGTTCAAAATCATCTAACAAAATATGTGTTTGCAAAGTATATTTCTTGACAGTTTTATTAACTAATAGTTGTGTAAACCTTGATTTTTTTTTTTCTAATTAGATGATGGAAACAATTTTTAACTTTTGTATAAGGCATGTATAGACAGCCATTTCAGTAGACTGATTTCCTCTCTCAAGATTAAGAGGTCTAGTTTCAGTGTTACCTTCATGTTTGCTCTGTCTTCAGCTGTTACCAAAATAGGCGTCTATTCTAGCTGGCTCATCAATAAATCTTCAGTTTAATTGGAGACAGAGAAGGATTTCAGCAGGTGAGCAGGAAGGAGGTGTCACTGATAAAGGGGCTTGTGCAAGCGTTGTAGCTGCAGTGCATGTGCTGAATCCCCTCTGCCTCCCCTGTAAGTGAGCACAGGCCCCTTATCCTTGGCAAGCTTTACTCTCCTTATATGATTGAGTCCAGGTAGTGCTGACTGCTCTTATTTTCAATGTAATAGGGAGTCTTGGGTTTCAGTCAGCATACACGCTATCTGAGAATCCAAAGGCAAAATCAGGCGGTTGCTTGTTTACAGATTGAACCATTTGAAAAATATAGCTAACTATATGTTGGACAGTTATGCATTTTATGGAGCTGATATGTTTTGTGAGAGTAAGTTGGACAGATTTTCAAAGTAGTTTTTTTGTGTGTGCAAATATACTATCATTTTTACTGAGATGCTGAATATTGCATATATAAATGCAAAGGCAAAATGAATCATTTTGCTTACAGTTGTTGAGAACACTGCATAATATTCAATCCTTCGGGTAATTAGAACCAATCTGTATTTAAGGATTAAGGCATATTTTATGTCATTGGTAAATAACACACAGTATTTTCATAAGGAAAGCTTTCAAACCTTTATCAGCGCAAAGAACAAGCTCCTGTAAATATTTTTGTTTTATATGTCACTCATTAGTCTGGTTGATGTCAGTAGGATTTCACATATTCATAAACGTGAGCGGGAGTAAGGGTCATGTACTGGAAATAAAAGGACTGTGCGCTACAGGATTATTATATCAATACTTTGACTTTTTAAAAGCTGTAGTAAAAGTTACATATGGACACTGGAAGTTACCTAGCTATGTGTAGTGGAGCTTTATTCAGCTAAAGGAATACTTAAGTGTTGGGTTTTTTTTTTGTTGTTGGTTTTTTTGTTGTTGGTTTTCAAGCTTGAATTCTGTGACATAATTGCTCTAGAAATTTAGCAGTCAAAATCTTAATGAACTAATGTCGTGTCAGGTACTTATTTAGTAGACTTAATATATTCTGTGAACAATAATGCTAATCATTAGAAGTATTTCTTTTCTTTTTTTCAAGAGAGAGAGAAAGAGAGGCAGAGAGACAGAATGATATGTTGTCATTCTTTTCCACAGTAATTCCAGACTGACGTGACATTACTGCAAAGTTCTGTGGGTTTTGGCAATTACAGAGAGAGGGATGTGTGATGTGGGTTGCACTTTTGAAAGAAGAGAAGCTTATTTCCTATTTGCTTGTTTTTACTTGTTTAAGTTGCTTCTAAATTCATGCTATAAAGCTATTAAAAAGCTAAAGGCAACTTTATAGAGTACAGGAGTACTGTTTAAATAATCCTTACTATTTGCCAACCCCTTTTGTTCCTTTTTGCTGCCTTTGCTGGCCAAGCAGAAGAGGGTAGTATAAGCATATAAGGTGGAGAGGAGCTGATTAAGTTGGTACTGTTATTGAGGAACAGTAAAAAGGTGTTTTTTTTTTTTTAGCCCTGGATGAACAAATATAACAGGGCGTATGATGCGAATTATGAGGAATAAGAAGAAACCCCTAAGCATGGAAATAAACTAGTTGCAGTCAGTTGTAATAATGATGAATTAATGTTGTTGAAGGGAAAAAATACTCAGCATTCCAGGAGTCTTCACTGGCATAGCTCCTGCAGAAGGAACTTGTTTTTTCCAGTTTTAAAACAATGTCATATTCAGTTATGTCTTACTGAATTAATATTTCCAGCTTTAACTACTCTAAGTTCTCAAAAGAAGACAATAGAACACATTGTGATTCCCAGGACATGTTTTTTTGGCTGTGCAGAAAGCATTTTTGATGAATAGTAAGTTTAATGTGAGAATTTTTTTTTTTTTGCTTAAACTTTTATTTACGTATGTATTTGTAAAAGAAAGCGTTCTGCTTCTCCCTTACCTCCTTGCTTTCAACCACTTTCAATTTTTGTTGTTCTTGCACCACTTCCCTGCAAGCGAGTGCACAGATGAGGAAAGTGGCCTATGAAGGCGAGTGAAGGGATTTCAGTGGGCAGCTGTGCTTAGACACTCCAGGGGTCTCAGACCTGTCTAACTGGCTGCAGACCTGTCCAGTTAGGCAGGCTGAGCATTATTGCAAGGCATTTTGCAAATGGCTGAAGATAATTAGCCTTTTGGTGCTGAAACTTGGAGTGCTGCGTTCCAGTTTCAGTTGTCCATAGAGTCGTGTGAATTTGCATATTCTTGTATGAGGTGCAGTATGCCGTAGTTTCCAACCTATCATAGAACCATAGAATGCTTAAGGTTGGAAGGGCAGCACCATCCTCCTCACTGCCTCCCTTGAGGTATATAGGTTGATACATTCTTGGGAAATAAAGTAAAACCAGTTTCGTAATTATGCTTTGCTCTTTGCTGTACTTGAAATTCTATTCAGTTGACTGTTCAGCGTGAAGAAGAGAAGGCTGAGAGGGGACCTGATCAGTGTATACAAATACCTCAAGGGAGGCAGTGAGGAGGATGGTGCTGGCCTCTTTTCACTGGGGGCCAACGACAGAACTAGAGGTAATGGCCACAAACTGAAGCACCAAAAGTTCCACAGGAACTTAAGGAAAAATTTCTTAACAGTGAGGGTGACAGAGCACTGGAACAGGCTGCCCAGAGAGGTTGTGGAGTCTCCTTCTCTAGAGATCTTCCAAACCCGCTTGGACGCAGTCCTGTGCCACATGCTCTAGGTGACCCTGCGTATGCAGGGGGGTTGGACTAGATGATCTCTAGAGGTCCCTTCCAACCTTAAGCATTCTATGGTTCACATTGTGATTCCCAGGACATGTTTTTTTGGCTATGCAGAAAGCATTTTTGATGAATAGTAAGTTTAATGTGAGAATTTTTTTTTTTGCTTAAACTTTTATTTACGTATGTATTTGTAAAAGAAAGCGTTCTGCTTCTCCCTTTTATCCCTTTTGTAGATATGGAAGAGTTAATTATGTCCTTGCTCGAAGACTTGAGCTGCTACGAGAAGTTGGGCGATTGCAAGAGAGTCTTGGAGTCCCAGGAGATGTTTCTTACACTTGTGAAACAGCTGGACACTTCTTCTTATACCAAGTAAGGGCTGAAGTACTTTCATATAGGCTGTATGACCTCAATATGTTATGAAACATGCTGTAAAAATTGGAGTGAATTTTTCAGAATTAAATATAAAATCCATTTTCTTTGGTGGTTTTAAATACAATAACAACTAAAACTGTAATTATAACATTATTTATATGTATTGCTATTGTTTTAAGCCTTGCCTTAGTGACTCATGAGTTGGAAGGCTGGCGTTCCTGCTTCTTGTGGCTGTTGGCAAAGTTTCTGACAAGGAGTTTCCCTTCAAACAGGAGAAGCTCTGGGATGCTTTGTGTTTTTGACAGGTTTTAGAGCAGCTACAACCATTGATGCTAGAAAGCTTTTTATGGTGGTGATGGCAGCATGAGCTTGGATACAAAATTCTGAATTTCTCTATACCCTCCTTATCCTTGTAGTGCTTTTTAGTTGCTTCATCTGTAACAGCAAGTAGTGCATCTCAAAAGGAGTAGACTTAGAGTGGTACTGAGGACCAGATGTCCATGCTATATTTGCTTTTACAGAGGTTACTTTGTGCCAACTCAGGTGTGGTTTGATGTATTAAATGGTCATTAGCTATTGGAGAATATTAGGAGAATAGTGACTAGTGTGCATCTGCTGGTTTAGTATGGAATTTAAAACAATATGTTACAAGTGGACACAATGAGGAGGTATACTTCAAAAGTGTTTTACCAGTTAGTGATAAAAATGCATATGTTATTATGTTTTAATCTATTCATAACTTTTATGTTAAAAGCTGCTTTATTTAACCGTTGAAGCTAAAGAATGTATGTTACATTTATTCAATGATTTTTTTAAATTAAATTAATTACATTAAAAAAATTCTTTACGTTTTTCTTTGCCATAGGTAATGTCTCGTTGGGAGGAATATATCAGTAAAGTGAAAGTCAAAGGTGGAAAACAGCCTGATGTTGCAGATGTTTCCAGATTCTTTCCTTTCCACCAGTACTTTGCAAATGCTCCTCAGCCAATTTTCAAAGGTGAATCTTACGAAGAAGATATGGAAATTGCTGAAGGGTGTTTCCGACATCTTAAGAAAATATTTGCCCAGCTTGAGGTAAAAACACGTGGCTGTTAGAAATACCTGAATCCATAAATACCATCCCAGAATTCCCATTCCCTTGCACCCTAGAGGTAGCATACACTGTTAGGCAGCCATCCCCTTTGGCTTGCAAGGCATTCAGGTGAGCGCTTCCCTGTTGAGTGTATCTTGTCCTGGTTTACACTAGGGACAGTAGTTTCTAGTCATTCTACTGTGATTGGAGGAAGGAGCTGTTCACTGTGCTCCATTTTTCACTTGGTCAAGTGTAAGAGCCTGAATAACCTATCTCTGTTCCTCTGATCCTTGTGTTTACAATGAATTGCCTTTAAGCAGATAACCTAGCAGCAACATAAGCAGATTATCATAAATCGTCTCCAGAATTGTTTGAAGGGGTTCGTAAAAATGTTTTTTTTAAAAAAAAAAAAAAGCCTTAAAATGAGTAAAGGTGATCTCAGTGTCATTTGGTTATATTAATAGATTGGTGATATATCACCTTGGTAAATGTATCATATAATATCAATTGTATATATTGATCTTGGGGTCGTATTATGATGAAGCAAGTGGAAAATGAGTGAGTTAAGTGTGTTGGGCCGAGGGGAGGTAGTCCTTAGACAACTGGAGGTTTCTGAGTGAATAATTGTTATAATCAGTAACTAAAACTCAAGTTTTCTTTTCTCTCTCATAGGAGTTTAGAGCATTTGAACTTCTCCGCAGTGGCCTGGATAGATCCAAATACCTCTTGGTGAAAGAAGCAAAAATTATTGCCATGACCTGTACTCACGCTGCTCTGAAAAGACATGACTTGGTTGAATTAGGTTTCAAGGTAATAATGATGCTAGTGATACAAATCTTTTTTTTTTCTTCTTACACAAACTTTTTGTCTAACCTAAATGTAGACAGCTAGATTATTTTGAGTTTTGCCTTTGACTGGAATATTTCTAATTGGAATTTTATTGAAGAATAGTTTAATTTCTACTTGCCTGTGTGAAATAGAGGTCACTTTGAAGACATTGTGTATGTTGAAATACAGCCATTTAAAAATGAGCTTTGCTGTCTCAAACGATGAGCTGCAGTGATATGGTTGAGTAATAAAATAAAGGCAGGATAGAATTGGGGGAAACAACATTCTCAACATTGCTTACCTTAAAAAAAAAATGCTTTGAGTTCCTGCTCTTTTTCACACTGCAGTATTCTCTATAGTTGTTTACTGCAGACTTAGGTCTGACAAACACAAAATAAAGCTTTCCAGTTTACTGACTTCTTTTCAGTACTTCTCTCTTGAAACGTACCATTTTGGCTCACAGAGGTACTCCAGTGCAATTCTGCCAACTGCTATTTTTTTTTTCCACTGCAGGAAACTTTTCTCTTGGGGAAAGATTATGCATGAGAAGTCTGTAATGCACTCTGTAAAGTAGAATCCTGCTGTTAACTGTCCCATCCATTGAAAATATATGATTTACCTGAATTGATGTTTCCTTTGGACAGGCTGTTTTACAGCCCTAGCTTGTATGACTTGGTTGACATTTCTTTACTCTCTTTCTCAGTATGACAACATCTTAATGGAAGAGTCTGCTCAGATCTTGGAGATAGAAACCTTTATACCCCTCCTGCTGCAGGTTAGAATTGAATTATGAACTATTCTGTTAAAAGCGGTAATTAGAAGTATGTATTCTTCAACAGGATAGCACATGAGGAGAGTGTCTTCTGCAGAAAGTGATGTCAAACTGGTGTTTTGCATTTATGTCAATGGACAGTAAGAACTTTCCCAATGTTTTTCCTTAGGTGTTTATTATGTGTTTATAATACTGTGGCATCAGCTAATATGTTCTAAATCTGTTATCATTAATTGACTAAATAGTGGTATTAACAGACTCTTCATTTTGAAAATGAAAAAGTTCAAGATATTTGGTATTTGTAAAATAGGTCATGGCTTTGTTACTTTTGCTTTTCATTTAATAGGAATTATTAAACTCTTGGTAATTTAAAACATTGCTGTGCTTGCTGATTATAGAATTGTTAAGGTTGGAAGGGACCTCTATAGAGGTCATCTCATCCAACCCCCCTGCACACGCAGGGTCACCTAGATCACGTGGCACAGGACTGCGTCCAAGCGGGTTTGGAAGAACTCCAAAGAAGGAGACTCCACAACCTCTCTGGGCAGCCTGTTCTGGGGCTTTGTCACTTTCACTGTCAAGAAATTTTTCCTTAAGTTCCTGTGGAACTTTTGGATTTTCAGTTTGTGGCCGTTTCCGCTTGTCCTGTCGGTGGCCACCACTGGAAAGAAGCTGGCCCCATCCTCCTCACTGCCTCCCTTGAGGTATTTGTATACACTGATCAGGTCCCCTCTCAGCCTTCTCTTCTTCACGCTGAACAGTCAACTGAATAGAATTTCAAGTACAGCAAAGAGCAAAGCATAATTACGAAACTGGTTTTACTTTATTTCCCAAGAATGTATCAACCTATATACCTCAAGGGAGGCAGTGAGGAGGATGGTGCTGCCCTTCCAACCTTAAGCATTCTATGGTTCTATGATAGGTTGGAAACTACGGCATACTGCACCTCATACAAGAATATGCAAATTCACAGGACTCTATGGACAACTGAAACTGGAACGCAGCACTCCAAGTTTCAGCACCAAAAGGCTAATTATCTTCAGCCATTTGTAAAACGCCTTGCAATAATGCTCAGCCTGCCTAACTGGACAGGTCTGCAGCCAGTTAGACAGGTCTGAGACCCCTGAAGTGTCTAAGCACAGCCGCCCACTGAAATCCCTTCACTTGCCTTTATAGGCCACTTTCCTCATCTGTGCACTCGCTTGCAGAGAAGTGGTGCAAGAACAACAAAAATTGAAAGTGGTTGAAAGCAAGGAGGTAAGGGAGAAGCAAAACGCTTTCTTTTACAAATACATACGTAAATAAAAGTTTAAGCAAAAAAAAATTCTCACATTAAACTTACTATTCATCAAAAATGCTTTCTGCACAGCCAAAAAAACATGTCCTGGGAATCACAATGTGTTCTATTGTCTTCTTTTGAGAACTTAGAGTAGTTAAAGCTGGAAATATTAATTCAGTAAGACATAACTGAATATGACATTGTTTTAAAACTGGAAAAAACAAGTTCCTTCTGCAGGAGCTATGCCAGTGAAGACTCCTGGAATGCTGAGTATTTTTTCCCTTCAACAACATTAATTCATCATTCATCATCAGTTGCCACCAGTCATAAAGAACATGGCTTTTCAGAAATACTCCAACATGGAGCAGTCCCTTTTTACGCGGTTTGTTCGTGTGGGAGTACCAACTGTTGATTTGGATGCACAAGGCAGAGCAAGAGCAAGGTAAGATGGAGAAAATAGTGTCTATACCATGAAAGAACTACCAGATTTTTATTTGTTTGTTTTTTCACATGGCAGTACTTTGAGTACTTCAGGGAAGATGACATTTAAAGGAATTTTAATTGTCTTTCTAAGTTTGGTGGGGTTTTTTGTTTGTTTACGTTGGGGGGATTTTCTTTGTTTACAGCTGAGGTTTTTAAATAAAATACAGGTTCACTTTCTAAACCAATATATTTGATACATTTGAGGCTAAACCAAAATTTGATATTTCCCTTAAAGTTAGTAAAATGCACACCAACATATAGCTATGAACACTACTCATAGGAGACCTTCAGGTAAAGGGGAAAGACACTTTTCTTAAAGCATTAGAGACACTGACTGTTAGAGACTGTTAAGTGAACTGAATGAAGTCCATTAAAGCCAAGGACCAAGGTTCTTCCCCCTGTACAATTTTTTTTTCCTTGTGCATTAATAGCTCCCTAATCACAGTTCTGCATTTTTTTACTGGCCAAAGAAATGGTGTTTTTACATTGAATGCCTTAAGCTATTAAATAATGTTAGGTGTAAGAGTATCTAGCCTTTGGGTGCCATCACATGTCTCTGCAGATTAGTGCCTACCTACCTTTGCAAAGGTTACATCCATTCTTTTGAATTTGCAATCTGGTCTCCCTTTGACAGTGGCAGGAGGTGAGTTTTTTGAAAAGCAATCTGAAATTCCTTTGGAAGAAGGTAGATAGAGATGGATACCTGCATTTACAGAAGAAAACCGAAATATAGGACAGACTTGTTCCAGTTTGTGAAACAGGTTGCTGGAAGAACTGAGTTGGGACCTGAGAGGTCCTAGATTAATGCCATATGCAATAATCTGTATTTTACTAAGGAAACAGTCTGCAGAGCAAAACAATACTTAAGCAATCTGTTTCAAAGATTATTTAAACATAAAAACCTTCGTCTTATTTTAATTTGGACAAAATCCTTTCTGAAAATTCTGCTGTTATAATGTCTATTGTTTTATGCTAAGTTTGCAGAATGGAATGTGGGTGGGTTTTGTTTGTTTGTTTTTAAAAATTCCTCCCAACAGTTCTTTAAAGGAGAGTATTCTTCCCTGATGGGAGAGGAAGGAGAATTCAGTTCAAACTGCAGCTATGAGTGATGGTATCAGAGAATATGAAGAATTAGTCAGATTTCTGTGCTCTCCAGAGGAAAGTGAAATCTGGAGTCCTCTGTGTGAGAGAACAAGAAGGAAAAACAGAACTTGAAAAATGAATACTAGATGGCTTTCACATGTGTAAATGAAGAAAACCTGCAGAAATACTCACATGGGAGGGTGTATTTGTATTGAACTACTTCGAATGACCTAACTCCCTTTTAACTGTTTGGGTTTGTATTTGTTTTTTTGGACAGTTTGTGTAACCTCTACAATTGGCGTTACAAGAATCTAGGTAATCTGCCTCATGTGCAGCTTCTGCCCGAGTTTAGAACAGCCAACGCTGGGCTCCTGTATGACTTCCAGCTAATAAACGTGGAAGACTTCAATGGCGTGGGAGAGTCTGAACCCAATCCTTATTTCTATCAGGTAAATCAAATGCGTACTGTATTTCATCAGGATATGCCTTAGTCTGTCTTCAGTGCAGATTTAATAACAAAATACAGGTCTGTTTCAGGCTCTCAGGTAGAGTTAAACATGAATAAATATGGTTATTCATCTTGTAATCAGTTTTGAATGCTGACAATGAAAATGAAGTAGAAGTGGCATAGTCTTGCCCTGTATGTAATAATGTAGAAAAGCCTGTTCCCAGAAGAATGAAATGGTGCTCTAAGAAATGTGGGTGTGGGCGTAAACTGCCAAACTGAGTGAACTGTCAAAAACCTTAGCCTTGGAATTTCTCAACTAAATATTTAAATTCATCCATCTATAGTCATCTCCTATGCATCTTCAATGGGGGAAAACCTTTTACACTTGTGATAGGATACTCATATTTTAAATCCTCTTTTTTTTTTAAAAAATGTTTCCTGTTTAAAAAAGGTGATAAAAAACATTTGTTGCTCAAATTACTAGTTTGTGTTTCAGAAGTGTTGAAAAACTGTAGCTTTGTACAAGTCCATGAGTTTAATACAAATTCGGGGTTCAGATCTTACTTTCTGTTTAATATGGAAAGCAGGAAATATAGGTTAAGATAGTAATGTTTCATGCCTTTTTTTCTCCCCTGTGAACATTATTGAGAGAGACTAAATACCTCTGAGGGATATGAAGAATATTCACTCTTATTTTCTCTAACTCAAACTAGGGTGCTGCTCAGGAGTGTTGATCCATAATCTGCTGTATTTCATTTCCAGATTGAGGGGAGGGTTATTTGGAGAGGAGACTTTTATTTGGGCACTTCTTTCTTTCCATAGACTTATTAGACAAAAGCTTGTAGAATATATTTATGTCCACATGTATTTGCTGCACATAGGAACGGCTTTTTCCAGGTAAGCCAGAGCCCTGGTCATCAGAGGAAGTAGGAGGTTGGTTTGTTTAGCTTAGTCCTGCAAAGGCTGCAAGGGGATAAGATTGCCTGGATGAGAGTGAATAAATGTCAAAAAATGGGGACAGTTTTTCAAACCTGAAAGATCATTTTTGTCTAAGGAGAATGGATGTAAACAGGCCATGAATAACTTCAGTCTGGGAAGTGGGCAAAGCTCTCTAATGGCCAGAAGAGCGATGCTTTGGAGCAACCATTTATTACAATCAATGGCACAGAAGACAAATGAAAATGCAAAATAATATTTAATCCATCTGAAACTTAATAGGGATGGATTGCAGGAGAAATCAATGGAATTGACAATCCAGATGTCTGTCCTAGTTAGTAGTTGGAAAGGACACCTGTTTTATATGAAGTCACTTTTACTTTGAACTAACCTGAGAGTGATTAAAACATTTGTGTGCTTATTTGGAGTCAAGTCATGTCAGTGCCAAGCACATTTTAGACTTTTGCATTTAAGTAATCTGTAACATATCAGTTTTTAATACTTTTTAACAAATTATGATTCCACAGTTTCGGAGTGCTCATAATAGGCGGTATTTGGGTATATGACTTTTAAGAAGAAGAAAAAAAAGAAACATGATGTTTCCTGTAATAGTACTGCTAAGTTTGCAGCTCCTTTGTGCATACAGCTGTATGTGAATACATTTAGATACAAATGTATAAATACCTTAATGCTAAGTTAATGTATATTAGTATTTAATTTAATGCATGTTAAATAATACATATATTAGTATTTATCATTTATTTAAATGTTTAAAAATGTAAATGTCAGTATATTTAAGGACTATGAAATGTTATCAATCTTATATTGAAACAAAACTCGGTGCATCTTAATAGGTATTGGAACATGCCAAGCAGTGACTAAAAATATAGTGATGTTGAGGTCTTTAGCAATTCTCTGCAGAGGCATCTAAATTGGACTGGTTAAGCATACCTGTGGTTCTTTTATTCTTTCAAAATGACTTTTGTTAAAGTGAGTAAAGGAACATCAGATGTATAGACACTCTCTCAATACTGTGTCCTCTAAACACACTATAATGCCTCAGGTACTATTCATTCCAGTCTTCCAAGACAAATAATTTTTTTTTTCTTTTAAACCCAAGAATCTTGGTGAGGCAGAGTATGTTGTGGCACTCTTCATGTATATGTGCCTGCTTGGTTATCCTGCGGACAAGATAAGCATCCTGACAACCTACAATGGACAAAAGCACCTGATCCGTGATGTCATTAACCAGCGCTGTGGAAATAATCCACTCATTGGAAGGCCAAACAAGGTGACTTTGAAAATACCTGAGTTTTTGAGGTGGTCTGTGTGTGTGTGTTTATTTTCATAATTTTCATGTTATAAAACAGTTGAATAGAGTCATCATTTTCTGTGCAAGTATTTACAGAGGAGCATCAGTTTTTGTTCATATGGTTTCTGTGGTCATAGAGTAGTGCTGTCACTTCTGGTTGTAATCTGTCATGCAGAGTAAATATGGCAAAAGTTCGACAGGCTACAGGTTATCTGGGACAGAGTAACTCTTTACTCTTTTGTCCCCAAAAAGCTTCTTTAGAGAGATCCTCTCAAAGTGGATATAGCTATCTGATAAAACATATGATGAAAAATCTTAGAAAACAAAAGTCTGGTGCTAATTCTGCAGGTTAAGATATTATAAAATGGATGGCTTTGTAAAGTCTGGATGGCTTTTGGTATTAGCGCTGTAATAGTGCTAATAGTTGTGTGTATGTAGTGTATGTCTGCTTTATGAGGGGGGAAAAAAGCTCCTCCCAACATCTTTCAAAGAGAACAGGTTGATGATTTTTCAGACACAGGTTAGAAGATAACTGAAACAGAGGGAAGTCATTCTCTTCTCTCTTCCCACTTACTGTAATGGGAATCTGAAGTTAATGGTAAATTGTTGATGGTGCTTTTTAAATGAAATGGAAAAATTAACTTTAGGGGGGGGTTTGTTTTTTATTCTTTAGGTGACAACTGTAGACAGATTTCAAGGTCAACAAAATGACTATATCCTCCTTTCACTCGTGCGCACCAAAGCTGTAGGCCACCTTAGGTATGTAAGAAGATAACTGAATAAAGTCATGTAGCAGAAGGATGTTTATTGTATGAAGGTATTCAACTAAATAGTAAAAACAAAGCTGAATGCTATTTATGGAATGAAGCTCAAACCTATTTCCATATATAGCTGTGTAGCAGCCTCTTTGCAACCACTTTATCCGTCAGTATTGGCTCTTATCTAAAACCTATAATTAGTTTGTATTACTGCAGGTAGGCTGAACTTGGTTTCACCCTTGTAGAATGGTAGGAATGTAATGCTGTTCGGCAAATACAGGCTTGAAACTTTCTTAGACTTTCTCCTGTAACTGAGTTGATTTGCTTTGTATCAAAAGTGTGTGACCTTTGCGTAATTTGTGCTCTGTTATATAGTTTAAACTGTTTGCACTTCAGTTATGTTGTGGGGGAAGCCTTGTCTATTCAGCAGTAGTCAAGTGTTTATTATCCAACTCATTTCAGCTTATTCAGGGATACAGAAATCCTATTGTGATTTGTTCCTAATGTAAACTTTTACCTCCAGAATCTAGGAAGAATGTAAAGGATGATTTTTTAGTATCATTAACAGTGGATTTAACCCTCTTATTATATATTATCTCTAGGATTTATTGAAACACTGTGTAGAAAAAATAAGGAATAGTAGTATTTTAGCGGGTTACTGTATATTTCCCTTAAAAATACTTCCAGTTGTCTTTATTTTAATTATATCATCAGAGATAAAGAATGTGACTGTTTTTTTTGCTGTTTGTTTTCTGAAGGGATGTCCGAAGATTAGTTGTTGCCATGTCAAGAGCCAGGCTTGGGCTTTATATCTTCGCCAGGGTATCGCTGTTTCAGAACTGCTTTGAGTTAACTCCAGCTTTCAGTCAGCTCACAGCTAGACCACTTCACCTCCACATAATTCCCACGGAGTATTTTCCAACAGCAAGACAGGTAGGAACACATGTGCTGAATTTTGCTATCTGTAATGGGTGTCCTTGTGGCCTGCCTTTTGAAAGTGGGACTGCTGTGTTACTTCACTGGTTAAAAAACAGTGCTTGGGTAATCATGTCCCTGGAGTGAACTTTCGCCATGATGCATCAGCTCTTCTTAACTGAAGCTGTTGTTTGGGTGTAGACATCAGGAGTACTTTCAGTGAAATGTGCTGTGTGAAAGCAGAGGAGACCATCCTTTCCGTAATGTGTTGGGAGAAGAGTCCCCAAGAGCCTCGGGCTTCTGTAGTTCAGAGCCTTCTGTGCAGATTTGAGGTTATCACACTAACCACCAAGCTCTTGACGGGGTTGGGATGGAGCCTACAGTCCAGGAGGGCAAGTGTCAGCAGGGAGCTTGATTGTGGCAGACAAGTAGGCCAAGTCCTGTTCTGATGCTGAACTATTTATGTCTTTAGTTAAATAGGTCTTAAGTCCAAAATGCACTCTGTGGACAGAATGTCAGAAACCTGTCTTTCCCCTTCCTGAGGAGAGAATATTTCTTTGCTAGACTGCAGTATCAGAGTTAACATAGTTGCCTAAAGTACAAGACCCACATTTTCTATGTTGCAAAAAAAATTAGCTGTTTTTTATTTAATTGCTTTTTTTTCAATTGGAGGGAAGGGAAGGGTTATATGTGTTGCTCAGTACAGTTAAGTTAAACCTGAATGCCTTGAATAGGCATTATGTTACTTTGTTTTGCTGAACATTTGCTTTTTTTTCCCCTTCCCTAGAATGGAGAAAGACCTTCTCACCAAATACAAGTTATTAAGAACATGCCTCAAATGGCTAATTTTGTGTACAATATGTACATGCACGTGATACAGACTACACACCACTATCGACAGGTAAGGACCTTCTAGTTTCTAAAATGAACTGGGTTTTAGTGAGTAACTTAGGGGAGCTGTTATGATTTGAGACTGTTTTTATTTCTGTTTCAAGTTCCAGTAGGCTTTATGGCCAGCATTGAGGATATTTACCTCTCTAAAACCTTGTAGTAGCAGGAGCAGCATCTTGTAGTAATTTAGGTCCCAATTAAGGCCCCCAGAATAATAGTAACTAGTGCCGAGTTGCTGGACATGGTTCTGTTGGAGCCCAGAAAATCCATACGAGCACTAAAGCATTAGTCTGGCCAACACTTGATTAAGTTAAAGTGCTGTGTTGTGTTTCAGGCAAGTGCACTGCAAACGTTGCAGCATGTCTGTGTGTGTAAGGATGTGCTGTAACAGTCATGCAGAGCAGAGTAGATGGTGTCCAGAAGCCATTCCAGCCAAGTGAGCCCCCTGCCCTGCTCAAGCTGTTAGCAGCTGTAGAACTTTCATTCTGCGTTTAGCCCTGGTTCAGCACCATGCGGACTGGCATGGTACAGAAACACTTGTAGATGTGTTTTCACATGCTGTGCCTAACTTGCATGGCAGAAATCCCCAGAGAAGAATTCGGAGCCCTGAATTAGAAACACTTGGATTCCTTATCCAGTATATGTGCAGAGATTTGAAAAGGTTTAAGCAGTATGCTGAACAGCAAGCTGCCTTCATTCAGCCTGCTAGGATCGGTAGGTGCCCAGAGCTACGTGGTACTAAACACAAAGGGAGAGGCCTCAGATCCTGCCCCTCAGCTGCAGCACCTCTCACTCCGTGTCTGCAGCCTGTAGTGTCTGCTTAATTCCATGTCTGCAGTCCCGTCTTCCACCCTGTGAAACTCTTGTTGGCTTTCGCTCCTCTACAGAACCTCCAGATGGATGTAAAAGATGATGGGTGTTTTGTTCAGTGCTAACTGGCTGTGGAAAGAGCGTAGGATTATCTTTCGATGGGTTGGTCCCATCCAACCCATCCAAGCCTGGGAGGCCCCCTTGCCCTTAACACAAGGGTGCTTCTCCATCTCCCTCCTTCTTCCAGGGGTTATTTCATCTAGTATATCAGCAGCATTAAGCAGTAGAGATCAAAATCCAATACGCCTCCCTAAACTGAATGCCAGACCTTCAGATGCAAAAGGTCTTTCCCTCTTTGCTCCTTATTTCAATGAATCTTAGATTTTTTTTTTCCCCTTGAGGGAGACAAGTACAGTGAATTTTGAAGCATTTTACTACTCAGATCAAGCCTTTGCCAGGCATGCTGGGTATTTTCTGTCTATTTGAGGAAATAGACAGAAATTAATTAACTTACTGCTGTACAGAAAGGGACTAAAACTTCAACTTTTTTTTTGTAACTTGTCAAGAGTAACACTACGTTGTGTCAGAAGCTGGGCGCCGTAAGGCTGTTTCTCGAGTTGGTTGGTCTAACTTGCTTGTAGATCTCTATTGCGTGGACAACATCTGATGAGGCTCCATAGGGACTCGGTGTATGTGCAGTTGGGCACATTGAGATGTAGGTAGATAGGCCTGTCAAAACAGAGAAGTGTGGCTCCTTTTAGCATTATAACTGTATCCATTGCTAGCTAAAATTAGTTGTACAACTGCTGGTTCCCTACTGTGGCAATGAGTCACGCTGTCCTTGCATGAGGAGACAAAAAGCAAATTAAAAGCAATGGGCAGGCACTAAAAAAGAGTTTTCCTTTATCCTGCTTAGTACAGCATGATATTTTTCATTTACCCTGCTCTTAACTGTAGTCACGAAGCACAATATGAATATAAATACATCATAGAATAAGTCAAAGTTTGGAAAGTCAGGAATATATTTTAATAATTGAAGGATCTCTGGTTTTACAATATTCAGCTTTGTCAAGAACAGATTATAGGGACCGAAATGGTAATTTCACTGTCTGTTAAAATGCTTTTCCTACCCCTGCCAGTAGTTATAATTGCTGCATAGATGCATGCTTGTCAGAAATTTGTAATATTAATGTCATCTAATTGAAGATAAGATTCTGTGTAATTAAATACTTAATTTGTCATGTGAAACCAAGTTGCCTGTAAGCAAAACATGATTAAACATGATCTGCTGGAGCTTTGTCAAGCTACCATGTCATTAAAACTCTTCATAATATTCCTTGGAAATATTCTTCATGGCATTAAATCACATCAGGCTGCAAGAAGCATGAGCATTTCTGTGCAGCCTGGAGTTGTTTAGGATTATCATCCTCTTCAGCTCACTGTATCCTTTAGGTCTTTTGTCTAGTCTGTAATGTGGCCAGCATTGCTGCTTGTGTCCTAGAATCACAGAATGCTTAAGGTGGGAAGGGACCTCTAGAGATCATCTAGTCCAACCCCCCTGCACACGCAGGGTCACCTAGAGCACGTGGCACAGGACTGCGTCCAAGCGGGTTTGGAAGATCTCCAGAGAAGGAGACTCCACAACCTCTCTGGGCAGCCTGTTCCAGGGCTCTGTCATCCTCACACTGTCAAGAATTTTTTTCCTCAAGTTCCTGTGGCAGTTGTAGGGCTTTGCACTTGCAAGCTGCTTTTTTGGTTGCGAATAAAGTATATGTTTGTGCCAAATTTATGTCACAAATATCTAAGCGTCGCAAATTTATGTCACAAATATCTAAGCCTTACTGGTCCTGGAACCTCTGTTCTATACTTAAAATTGTGGATGAAACTTATTTAAATCAGGTAGTGGTCACAAAATATTTTGTTAAAGCTTTCAAGTAAAAATATTAAAATTAGGTAATAAATACTGGTTGAAAAGATCTGGTTCTTGAGGAGTCTGAGGCGGTGCTGAAGCACTGGCCACATCACCTCCATACTCTTGCTCACATGTGGTTTTTGCTCTAGCTCCATTGCTTGTGTGAGTGAGATAACGAAGTTTGTCTCCTTGGCCTGGGAATACGGAGCTTTTATCACGCTCTTTCCAGGCATCGAGCACATCAAGACCACCGTGTGTGCCAAGCTTATTCTTGCTCGTACATTTAAAGGAATTAAGTGACTGCAAGTGATTAGTGTTTCTAACTAGTCTTTGTTGTTTTCTAATGCAAAATCCCAAATCTAAGATGAAAAAGATTGAACTAAAATAGGAATAGGTGCCCAGGTGTCTTGTTTTAAGACTGAATATATGAGGTTTGTTGTTGTTGTCTCTATTTTTTATCTAGCGTTTACTGCCCCCACCTGCCATGATTGAAGAACCTGAAACCACTCAGACTCAAGAGACAGAAGCAGAAGTTGAAGCACAAGGTATGCAGGAAGATGCAGAAGAAGAAAATAAGTCAGGGGAAGAAGTAATAAAGGAAGGAGAATTGAAAGTGGCAGAAGTGGATGAACACCGGACGATGCCAGAACACCCAGGGAGAGACAGTGACAGCGAAGACAGTGAGCCTGAGGATGGGACCGAGAAGTGACTGAAGTGATCTCTGTCCTCTACAGCTTTTGGGAAAAGGGACTGGAAGAGCAGATAGTAACAACATTGATGTTTTTACATGGACTTTTTAAAATGGTCACCTGTGTAATGTGACCTGTCTTATCTGTCCACCGAATACTTCAGTGGACAAACAAAATATTTGCCAGGTGTTATACTGAATTCATGTCAGTTCCAATAATGTGTTTAATGGCCTCAACTGATACATTGTTTCCTCTTCATAATTTCTTTAGTAAAGATGTTTTTATGATAACTTTGAATATTATCACTGAGTCATCCATTCAGCTTTACTGTTTAACTATATTCCATACTGCTTGGACACTATAGTTTCCCTAATATTACTGCACTGAAGAATTTCTTCTACAGACCTGGGCTTGCATACGTTGAGGTAGTGCTTTGGGCATAGGCTCAAGGTCAGTAAGGTACCCACGTTCATGTCAGTGCTCGAGTGGGTTAACTTCCACATGTGCATCTCAAACCGGTGAGGGAAGGGTTTCTCCCTGATTCCTTAAGGGCATCTGCCAACTTTACAGGTGATTCAGGGGTTCAGTGAAACATTACGCAAAAGCAGCAGCCAGACGAACGTCCTGCGGTGCTGGCAAAGGAAAAGCGCGTGGCTTTACAGTACAGCACTTGGGTACTTGCCAGAAGGGTTTTATTGCTAAGTTGACCAAAGAATCATTAACTTACTAGTCTCTTATTAATAAGACTAAAGTATTTCTTTTTTTTTATTTTTAGTAGAATAAGGAAAAAATGGTAAAAAAAAAAAAAAAGAAAAAAGAAAAAAGTAAGCCAACCTTTGAGAGAGATTTATTATGTATCTGTGTATGTGTGCTGAGATCCCATTTTCTCCCTTCTCCCTGCCCTTCTCCCATTCCCAAATTCATTCTCCCCATAGCAGTTACAGGATAGCTCAGGTACAGCAGCTCACAGTACTGGTGTGCAGAGTTCCCTGGCATTTTTTATTCACTGCTGATCTAGCTAAAACTGGAAAATCTGAGCAGAGTGTGTGTTCAACCCTTATGCTGGGAGCAAGGGAGTGCATTGGTTGTTTCCCAATTTTCTGCATATGGAGGGCAAGTAGTGCAAAGCTGAATATTTGGGTGAGAACAGCTTCATGAAATAGCATCACATCTTCAGTCAGGGATAAGTAATACAGGACCTCCAGGCAACATGGGACCCACTCAGCAAAGGGTCATCTTTTCCAGCCTGTTTTCTGAAAATATCAGAGTCTGGCAGTCTTTCACTGTGCTTCAGAATTTTAAGGAAAAAATGGAAACAAATTCTGAAGGTTTTTTTTTTTTTTCCCTAAAATGGCCAATTGAACTAATATTGATAGAATCCCTATTATGACTACGATAAAGCAACTGAAGGTGAAAGCAATGTAACTCCTTCCGTGACTGTGATATAATGCTAACCTATAGCGCGGGTTTAGATACGATCCAGGATCTGAACAGCCCTGAGAGCTTGATGTGCTTTTACTGTGGTCCGTATGGAGCTTGGAAGCCATTTGGCACTGCAGCCAAGACGGACGGCAAGTGGGTCCAAAAAGAATCGAGAACAAACTTTGCCCCAGGGCAAAGACTAGATAAGCAGGCCCTTTTAATAAACAGCTCTGAAAAATGCAGATAAACTCCTCAAGATAAGGGCGCTGCCTTTTTGTAGCCTACCTCGCACCTGCACTGCCAGTGGATGTGTGTGCTGGGGGTTTGCTGCCCTCGGGAAGCAAGCGGGCGCCTGCCACGTCTGCAGCCTTCGCAGAGGGTCGCTGCAGCTTCGTGGGGCACGAGAAGAAGAGAAATCCTGGAGGAAAAGTACTGTGGTGGGCAGCTGAAGTTAAATTATCCTGACAGAATGCCTTTGCTGACAGGACAAAATAAATCAGTTTTTCATCATTGAAATCACAAATTTGTTTTTAAAAAGACCTACAGGGTATTTTGATCACATATTGGATAAACAAGTTGACATGTAATTCTATTGAAATAAGAATTAGGTAACACTTGGAATCTCCTAGAGCAAATGGACAAAAGTAAATGTCCCCGCCAACAAATGAATCACAGCTTACGGCCATCAAGAAGCAGTGACTTCCACGGAGACGCATGGAGTGGGGTTTCTTTTGCCAAACATGGCAAAAATCCTCCTCCTAGAAACAAATCCGTAGAAAATGAATGTTTTCAGGGGAATTTTGAGGCTGCTTCTCGGCCTTTAGTGCCTCTATTGCTCTGTGTGTGTGTGGTTTTTTGTTTATTTGTTTTTTTATCCTGTGTAGTTTTCTTACAGCACAGTTGCTGCAAAGGATGAGGTGCCATGGTCATGTTTATGTGCTATAGTACTAATAAATATGTTTTAGAAGCATACTTCTTAAAACTGCAATTTTATTAGCAGAACTTTCTTGAAAGACTTGATAAGTCCCTATAATTGCCTTTTAGGTGGTTTCTAAAACACACTGTACTCAAGCTTCCAGAATGAAATTTCTCCTTACTAATAGAGGCAAAAGTATGACAAAATTACCACAACACAAACAGTACAACAATAGAGGGAGAAACAATACCACCCACCTCTTATTCTCTTTGACCTGTTTGTAAATACTAGATTTCAGGGGACTAAATTCTACTATTGCAACAAGAAAATTACATTTTTTCCTCACTGTTGCCTTAGGCAACAAGGGTAGATTCCTCCTTCTTCACCTTGCACTGGAAGAGCTTTACCAGCTTAATCTGACCTGCACCATGAATAACGTATCAGGTTGCTATTGAGTAAAAATAATTACATTTACTTTCCTTTGTGTTTTTTGCTTTCCTTGGGAAAAGAGCAAGGACAAGTTTGTTTCTGCATCGCGTAATGATATCTTTAATTGCAATACAGAAGCCTATTGCCATATTATCTGGAGAACAAGATAAAAATAAAAGCTGAAGAAGAGTTGTTTCCGCTCCGGTAAGAAACTTCCCAGCGTTCAGGGAAGAACAGTATGGGAATTTTGTATGTGTATAGGAAGAAAAGGTAAAGCCAAGTAAGAAGTTGAGCCTTCAGCTGCCAGTTAGGGATCATCTATAGGTGTCAGTGAACCAATGCATATCTTAAGTGCATGTGTGCCTAATGAAATGTAATTTTGTAGATCCAGAGAAGAGCATGAGAGGGGAAGGTAGAAATCCAAATAAGGGTCAGGAATATCTCAGCCTTGGCACTGCTTGCCGGAGATAAAAAGAAGCCGCCCTTACTGCATTTATCAAGTGTGAATTCCTAAACTGCTGCAGCCCATGGAAGAGGAGCCCTGCTACGCATCTGCAGACGCTTCAGCGTCCTGCTCGGCTGGCCTCACATCTCTCGTGTGTCAAGAGCACTTATTTTTAGATGGGCCGGTCACCGGGGACGTAGCGTATCTTAACTACTGTATAGGAAGTAGCCTAGGGACAGGAGAGGTGGAGAGGGACAAGCTCAGTATAGAAGTACTAGAATTCCCTTTCTGACCTGAATCCACAGCAGCAGAGGCTTGCCCTATTTTTGAGAGCGATTTTGGCAGTGCCGATAACGTTGTGTTGAGCAATAGGGTGTTTTCTGAAATGAGGCATAGGCCACGTTTCGCATGCTGAGTCACAGAGGGGAGCGGGCGCCTGGCGGGTAATCCCCTGCGCTGAGGACACGCGGCACGGCCCGGAACAGGGCTCTCCTGCCCGCGTGTGCGTGTGTGTGTGTGTGTGTGTGTGCACATCTACGTGGCTTCTACATACAAATATTGGCTCACTTTCATTACGTTGCTTTTTAATATGAAATTTCTGAAAAGCTATAATGTAGCGATAATGTTTTTGCTTACCAGAATGCTGTGTTGGAAATAATTATTCTGTGACTGACAGAAATTTTTACTGAAAGCAGAGGTCTTTTTGTGATGGTTTTGTGGTTTCATGCAGAACCTAAAATAGAAAGTAGCATATCTATCTAGCGATATCTCACTGTGTATTTGGTCTGGAGTCATTTTCTCTCACCTCTGTGTAGCAAGAAAAATCTACAATGGGGAGTAAAAGGCTAGACTGCAGGGCAGTCTGCTCAGTTGGACCTGCCCTTTTTTTTATTGTATTAGAATGTATTTAAACTATTGTAATGAATGTGATTTACAGACACCTCAGGTGATTGGCTATAGAATTTATCAAAAAAAAAAAATCAGTGCAATACTTTTCTTAGAAAATCTTGACTCAGCTAAATGTTACCTTTTGTCGACATTTGATTTTTTTTTTTAAAAAAAAAGCTTGAGCCCTCACCTTTGGTAGTGCATTTTCCCTTGAATGAACTATATGTTATCAGAAAGTCAAAACAAGCAATAAAATTGAAAGATGCTGTATTCCCAATAGAAAACAAAATTATTTCACAAAATGTTAAAACTTCTGATTTTAGCTGCAATCAGGGCTGAAAGGAAATTTTGCAGTTCGAGATTTTCGCAGAAAATGAAATCTTGGAGCTCTGGCCCACTCTGATCCCATAGGTGTTTGGACACTGAACCCTTCCTGCCCTACCATCTGAGTTCCTACTTTGAAAACTGACCTGGGAACATAGTGAATGAGACACTGCAATCTTAATGAAGCTCAAGCTAAATAAAAATAATCTTCAGTGCCCTGCTTTCCTATCCTGTTACAGAATGAAATAACAGGCCTTTTTTTTCCTTGTTGAGGTTCACCATGTTTCAGGCCCCTGCTGCCTTCCCTCAGGGCTAAGGGCTCCCACGCTAGCTCAGATTTTCCTAAGCTCTGTTCTTCAGCTCATCCCTAATGTCCTATGAAGTCATCTAGCTCCCGCTCACACAGATCCTGCAGCACTGGGGTAGCTGTCCTGGATTGCTCCCTACCCCTGCGATGTTCCCCACTGGCGCTCCGTCAACGCAAGCTGTGTAATGAGACGCGGCACTGCGGACAGCTGCTGCTCTTGACTCATCTCAGCCTTCCTTTAACTCCAAGCTGAAACAATTACCATTGTGAATCTGCAACAAGACTGTAGGAAACACGGTGGCTTGAGTGGTTTAAACTTCATGTTTTGAAATGTAAGCATTAGTGGAGTGATAAATATTAATACCTGAACATTTTGTGCATCTATGTTATATATAGAAACTTGATTTGCAAGATAATTTCTTACATTTTGAAGAATGTAAAACTTCATTTCACAAACTTCACAAA